CAATAGTGATCAGTCGGGGGTCTTTTAGGTCGTTTCAGTGTCAGTAGCACCCTGGGGTGGGGGTAGGGTCATGTTTACGACAGGGGGCTAAAGTGTTGGGGAAGGGGGTGGCAAGTTGACCCATCCCACTTCGCACTTCCCACACGGACACGCACAATACGTCGAAGGCGTGGACGCACACACGTCACACACACACGATGACACAAAACGGCACACAACAAGACAAACAAAAATACACACGATGCAAACACACACACAACACGACACAGAAAGCATCACACACAAAACATCACACACACGACCCACAACATGTCACACACACACACTCAACACAACACGACCCACAACATGTCACACTCAACACAACACGACCCACAACATGTCACAAAAACACACTCAACACAACACAACCCACAACACGTCACACTCACACACTCACACACTCAACACGACCCATAACACGTCTCACACTCAACATGACCCACAACACATCTCACAACACGTCTCACACACACTCAAAGACACACAGCATGTTGCACATACGTCGCATACACACAACTTCGCACACACAGTTTGTCGCATGTCGCACATATCACGTCACGCACTTGTCTGACTATGCACATGCACATGCACAACACGTCGCACGCACACACACGACATGTCACAGACACGACGCACACAACATGACAGCTGGAGCTGGCTGGTTCCGCCTCCTTGGAAAGAGCGGAAAGACACAAAATGGCACACGACATTGAGACACACATATGACACTGACACGTTGCACGTGGAACACACAGCATGTTGCACGTCACACTTTACATGTCACATGCACAACACATCACACACAGCCTGTTGCACGTTGTAGACAGCACGTCACATGTTGCACACACAACACAGTGCGCATCGCAGGCACGTTGCGCGTTGCACGTATACAGCATGTCACGGCTACACTGCACGTCGCACGCGCACATGCACAACATGACACACAACCTGTCACACACACAAAAATCACAGCAACACGGACACACAACACATCACACACTCAACAAAACACTCAAGAAAACACACAACCACGTCTCACACACACACGACACCACATGACAAACAACGTCTCACACACACAATCACGTCTCTCACACACGCCGACACACACTCACGCACACACGCACAGCACACGGCGGCTCTCACACACGGCACTGACACACACGACGTCTCACACACCCACGACACGACATACGACACGTCACACGACACACAAGACGGCAGAGGACACGACACCGAAATCCCACCCCGGAGACGACCCCACCCCGGAGACGACCCCCGCGGGGGCGAGAGCGGAGCGGGGACGGTCGGGGGAACTCGGTCTCTGGGCGGCGCGTGGGGCCGGTGTGGGCGGGAGGGAAGAGGGCGGCAGGGCCGAGGGCGAGATTCCCAGCCCCCGGCGAGCGCTGGGGAGCGAGGGCTCCGGCTCGGCTCTCGCAGCGGCTCTGGCGAGGAATGGTGCCGGAGCTCTCGCCGGAGGGGAACGCGGCCGGAGGGGCCTGAGCCGCTTGGGCCTCTTTCCAAGGAGGCGGAACCAGGCCTCCGCTCTCTGCCCGCTGCAGACCCGGCTGCCAGGTCGGCGCTTCCAGTTCCTCGTCCGCACTCGCCGTCTTCTCGTGTGTTCGCCAACTCGCTCTCTCTCCTCTGCTCTCCTGGTGCCGTCTCCCTTTGTAGGACCCGGGTAGGTGTGCATTCCCACAGGTGAGGTCTCGGGAGCCATGGAGAAGTCGGAGCGGACGGAAATCATGCAGGGCAGTAGAAAGGCTGCTGAAAGTACCTGAAGAGACAAAGGGAATGAGAAGGGGGAAGTCCAGACTAAGACAGGAGTCTAGTCTGTAAAGAGAAACAACGGGAAGTCTAAGCTACAGAAACTCTTCAAGTTGCCAAAAGACATTTAGGATGGGAAATGACTTCTTGAATCCAGTCTCTTTAAGATCTTAGGCTTAGTATGTGTGTGTATTTGTATTTGCTTAGTAATCTGCCTTCTTCTGTTTGCTATCCCTTATAATCACTGAAAATCTACCTTTTCTAGTGAAACTATTTTTTCTTTATTATTATTATTATTATTATTAACTCAGTTTGTGCAACGGGTGCTCCGTGAGGAAATGATTTGTGTGTTACTCCAAGGGGCCGCCCGGTGTCACTCTTGCTCCATGAGGGAAATGAGCATGACCTGAATTGGCCACCCAGTGTCACTGTTGGGCCAGGAGGGAAAGATTTGAGCACTACCTGAATGGCCACGCGTGTCACCATTGCTCCGTGAGGAAATGCCGCAGACCCAAGGGCCACCCGGCTCACTGTTGGTCCAGGAGGGAAATGATTTGTGCATTACACTGACTGGCCACCCGGTGTCACTGTTGCTCCGTTAAGGAAATTATTTGTGCACTACCGTGAGTGGCCACCGAGTGTCACTGTTGCTCCATGAGGGAAATGCTTTGTGCAATACCTGGATTAGCCACCCGGTGTCACTGTTGCTCTGTGAGGGAAATGGTTTGTGCATTATCTGGATTGGCCACCTGGTGTCACTCTTTCTCCATGATGGAAATGGTTTGGGCATGACCTGAATTGGCCACACACATCACTGTTGCTCCGGGGAGGGAGGGGGGGGATTGTTTGTGTGTTACTCCTGAGTGGCCACGTTGTGTCACTCTTCCTCCATGAGGGGAATGCTTTGTGCATTACCCTGTGTGGACACCCAAGACAACATACACATCACACACAAAACATCACACACACAAAACACGACACCGACACACACAGAGAGAACACGTCACACATACAGAAACACGTCTCTCACACACACACAACACAGGACACCGACACACAAACAACATGACACACAAATAAAATGACACACAAAACAGCACACAACACGACACACAAAAATCACACACAATACACGACACCGACACATACACACACACACACGAGACGCACAAAACGGCAGACAACGTGACACAGAAATCACACACGACACCGACACCCACACACAATACGACACACAACCCCTCACATGACACACAAAACGGCACACGTGACACACACACACAACACGATGCACAAAACATCGCACACAAAATATCACTCACACACACACAACACGACACACACACAGACAACACGACACACGACACACAACACGAGACACAAATATCTCACACAACACATGACACCGACACACACAACATGCACACAAAACGGCACACAACACAGCACACACCGTCACATGCACACAACACGGCACACACCGTCACATGCACACAACACGGCATACAACATGGCACACACACACTCAACATGGACCACAACACGCACACATAAACACGTCACACACACACAAAACGACACACAAGTCACACACACAACACGTCACACGACACATGCAACACGACACGCACAACACGTCTTCAGCCTCCTTCAGCCTTCAGCCTCCTCTGCCCCTCCCTGCGCTTCCCACAGCCAGTCCGCCCAGGCGGGGTCCTGGGGAAGCCAGAGGGTCCTGCCCCCCAACTCCGCAGTCAGACGGGACTCTCAGCCAGCCAGGAAAACAGAGGTTTATTAGACGACAGGGACATGGTCTAACACAGAGCCTGTAGGTGCAGAGAACCGGACCCCTCAGCCGGGTCCATTTTGGGGGGCAGTGAGCCAGACAACCCCGTCTGCCCTTCACTCCATGTCTCCAGCCAGCCCCCAACTGAAACTCCCCCCAGCCCCTCCTCCTCTGGGCTTTGTCCCTGTCCCCCGGCCAGGAGGGCACCCGATTCCTTTGTTCTCCAACCCTTTAGCTCTCACCTTGCAGGGGGGAAGGGCCCAGGGCATCAGGTGCCAGGAAAGAGGGTGTCGGCCATTCTCTGTGTCCAGACCCCTGCACACACCTGCCCTCCAGAGCTCTGCAATGATCATACACCCTTACCCCACCCCCTAGATCCTTAAGAACTGCATAGGGGAAACTGAGGCACCCCCACACAATTCAGAGGAAACATGAAGTCCCGCTTCATGACAGATGACTCCAGGAGGTGAGTTGCTTGCTATCCTACCATGTTTTTCTCTGTCTCTCCTCTAGTATGTTGGCCATCACACACACTCTGTCTCTGTCTCTGTCTCTGTCTCCTCTCCTCTCCTGGTGCCAACGATGACCAGGCCCCGGGTGCCTGGGCCCCATTTCCCCCCTGTGCTCCATCTCTTCCTGTATCTGCCTCGCCCCTTCTCCCAGCCCACACTGCCCACCGCTGCCTGGATGATTTCCCCCTCTCCTCCACTGCACCCCCCTCTGTGGGGTCCCTGCCACTCACCGTCTGCCTCCTCTCCTCCACCCCCTCCCCCGCTTCCCCACGGGTCACTCTGGGGGCCGGTTTTCTTCACCATCTTTGTGCGTGATCTGGAGGATGGGATGGATTGCACCCTCAGCAAGTTCGCAGATGACACTAAGCTGGGCGGAGAGGGAGATACGCTGGAGGGTCGGGATAGGGTTCAGAGTGACCCAGACCAATTAGAGGATTGGGCCAAAAGAAATCTGATGAGGTTCAGCAAGGACAAGTGCTGAGCCCTGCACTTAGGAGAGAAGAATCCCATGCACTGCCCCAAGTATGCCATGTCCCCGCCCCGAACCGACCCTCCCGGAGCATCCTCAATTCCACGAAACAGCTGTTCTGTGGTGGGGCAGGAAGTGCTGGGAAGGAGGGTGGGGAGTTGCTCAGTGGGGGTGTGTCTCTCTGGGTGGGGTCTGTGTGTGTTTATGCACAAGCTGATTGTGATGTCACGGATGCCAACAGCAAAGAGTGTTCGGCGTCAGCATTCTTGCCCTGCCGTCAGTCTGCCAACTGGCTTGGTTGACAACGGCTGGTGACCCAAGGAGCTGCTGAGAGACGTGGACCATCTCTCTGTCAACAACTTCTTGAATCAGCTATTTCCACAGGTGTTTGAGGAACAAAAGGATGAGTTTTTACAGAAGGTAATTCCCAGATTCTTTCCCTGCTCATTAGATCGCACACGACAGGTCGGCGCCTCCTTCTCCTCGGGACGGGTGGGGGCGGGTGTGGCAACAGGCAGGTCTCAGCGTTCCCTTTTGATTTGAAAGTGGCCATCTCTCAGGTCTCCTCCTGCTTCAGCCTGTCAGGTTCTTTGGAGGCAGATTTAGATGATTTTATCTTTCAGCAGACTAGTCGGGGGCAATTTCCAGGGATAGAACCAAAAGGGAAGATAACAAAACCAAAAAAGATAATAAAAACCAACAACCTTCAGTCTGACCCTGGGCAATTCGCTTCAGGGCTCTGGGCCCAACTTCCATCCTCTGTAAACAAAATGTTAAGAATGTTTCTTTCTGCTGCAGGGACGAAGAAGGAGCCGTCTGACACGAAGGGGAAGTGGGAAAAAGGAAGCCCAGAAGAGCAGGAAGAAGAGCGCACTCCCAGCCCCTCATTAACAAGCAGCTCCCATATGACGATGGTAATGATGCTGGTTGGCCGTGCTCATGGAAAGCATCCCTTGCTGTGTGTAGGAATATCTCCCAGGGGCTGAAAAGAAACACTCGTCAAGGGTGATCAACTCCAGCCAGCCTTTATCTGGGTCGCTTGAATGAGGCCCGCTTTGACAAAGGGGTTTAGGCACCTAAAGAAGTCCAGAGGTGCTTTGTGGGACTGGCAGAAGTGCCTGACTCAGGTGCCCGATTCTGATGCACTTTCCATGGCACACAGGCACGGCTGAAAACCAGACCAGGCCCATCCCTGCCCTGGTCGGGGGAACCCACATATGTCCTGGCTGTGGGGTTCTGGCCCATCTCGTGGCACCAGGACCACTTGGAGACACAGAGAAAAGGAGTCTGCTCGAGAGCCTTAGCTAACAGCCTCTTGGCTTTTCGCTCCTGTGGTCGAGGCTCCTGCACTAAGCTCCAGAGGTCCCAGGTTCCCTCTCGCCTGCCAACATCTGGGCTCTGTCCGAGTTACAAAAGCCTCTAGACACCTTTGTAACTCTTCCTCTTCGGGACAGAGCACCCTGCAGCGCATACAAAAGGCTGCAATTCTGGGAGCTTCTGACCCGCCGGGGGTCTGGAGTATGGAGGCGAGTGTGCCACTCCGCTGTGCTCTACTGCATCCTAGGATATCAGGGTTGGAAGGGACCTCAAGAGGTCATCCAGTCCACCCCCTTGCTCAAAGCAGGACCAAACCCCAATTTTTACCCGAGATCTCGAAATGGTCCCCTCAAGGATTGAACTCACAACCCTGGGTTTAGCGAATGCTCAAACCACTGAGCTACCCCTCAGCTGTTGGCAACCAGGACAGACGGTGCTAATCCAGCGCCATGCAGGCCAGCTGCAATAATCCCCAGGGGTTGCCCTGAGACACCAGGGCAAAGGCCTCCAGCACCCCAAGCCCTGGGTTTAGGTGATCCTGGAACCAGGCCCCCTGGAGTAACATTGTGCCCAGTGAGTTCTCACCCCCAGGGCTCTGGCCCCAGAGGCCCACGCTTTGGGCTTCTCCTCAGCCAGGCAAACTTGCTTCTTAAGTCTCAGTTACTTTCTGTCCTGACGGCGATTCCTGCCTGTTTTCTGGCAGCCCCACAAGCTGTGAGGTGGGGAAGGAAGAGGGCGTTTCCGTTTGAGCCCTATTCTCAGTCCCTTCCTCGCAGACACTGTGGGCTGCCAGAGTTGCTGAGCCAATCTCCTCAGGCGCTCGGGGTGGGATGGGACATGGGGCAGGTTCTCCAGTGACCCCTCGGCGACACTCAAGGAGCAACTCGAATGGGCTTTGCAGGACATTGAGGCTTTCTCAGCAAAAGCGGGGTTTCCTGCAAGGAGGGGCTAGCGAGGGAGGAAACGGGGTGGCCCTTGGGGCCCCAGCACTGCCCGAGAGGCTCCCGTCTCTTCTCAGGAGAGGGGGCCAGAGAGGGGACAAAGGCTGAGGAAACCTTAGCACCTGGGGAGGCTTTTGAAGAAAAGGGCTCAGCCGGAGTCTCCACGCTCCCTCGGCACTGCCAGCCTCCCCCGGGGACAGACTGTTCCAGGGCAGCTGCCCGAGGGAAATACTCAATCCCAACAGGCTTTGTCCCTGTTCTTTGCAGACCCCCAGGGAGCACCCTTCCTCAGCCCCGCTCCATGCCCTGCTGATGGCAGCCGTGAAGGGTCTGACAACACCCACCCTGCAGAGATTTAGAGCCGCAGAGGAAGAGCTGAGGGCCATCGTAGCTCTCCACGGAGACAAGATGGAGAGAGTAAGAGACGCCCGCAATGGGGCAGGGGGATGCTGCGCAGAGAGGGGGATGGGAGAAGTTCCTCTCCTCGGAAACCATTCCTGGGACACTGGCATGGGATTGGAAGATTGGCTCAGCCTGTTGCCATTCATCGCTTGGCCACGGGGATAGGTGACATTCAAGCCCTTCTCCAAAGACCGCCTGCACGTGGCGCGGAAGTGCAGACTTATTCCCTTCCTGGGCTTTGGCTTTCCTGAAACTCTGAGACTAATCAATGAACAGAATCCTCAGCCTGAACTTCCTCCCCAACCTGCCTGTTCCTAGGGTTTCCTGCAGGTCATCCCTGTCTCTGCCCGAGTTCCTTCTTTCCAACAGCTCCCAGCGGGAAGTTAACAAATGGCCCCTCAATCAGCAGATTGATTTGTGCAGGGCTCTAACTCCTGCTAGCAGAACAGGTCAACAGAATCCAGCCACCCGCCTTGGAGCTCCTGCTCCTTGTTCGAGAGGGGAAAGAGCAATGAGCAATTCCTCACGGAAGAGTCCTAGGAGGTGGCTTGTCCCTTTAGGGTCTGTCTCCCTGTGTTGCAAACTCTGCAGCAGGAGCCTGAAAGCCTGGCTCTATGGACTTGGGCTCCCAGGGCTGGCACTGAGGGGCCACAACAGCAATGCAGACTCTTCTGGGCTGGGGCTGGAACTTGATCTCTGAAGCCTGGGGAGGACGGTGGCTTCAGAGCCTGGGCTCCAGCCCAAGTCACCTTGTCTGCACTGCTCTTCTAAGTGCCATAGCATGAACCCGAGGTTAGAGACTGGGGACTTAGGAGACTGGGGCCGGGAGCTGGCTAGCCCCACCCAACTAGCCCTGCCTCCTGTCTCTGCCATGGGCTCTGGGATACATCGGTAGAACCAGCTGGGTCTGGAGCAGTGCTTCTCAACCTGTGGCCCGGTCAGCACAGAGCTGCGCCCCTTTGGGACATCCTCAGGGACAAACAGGTCGGATTGGATGTGCCCCACAATGGAACCTAGGTTGAGAACCACTGGTCTGGAGGAACGGATTGTGCAAGAAAGAGCTAAAAGGAAGTTGCAGAGATGGAGGAAAGGCTCCTGGAGGGAAGCCCTTGAGAGCGGGACTGAGAGCCGTTTGCTACGGCAGGGAAGGCCCTGGGACATCAGGGGAGTTAGGACTGTGCCCACTCTAAGGTTTTGTGCGTGTTTTTGAGCTTGAAGGTGCTAACCCAGACCTCAGGAAGACTGGGGTTCCTGGACTTGTCAAAGCCTCTTAGGGAGCAGCCAAGATGGGCAACCGAGGTCAGAGGAGGCTTTCAGGGCTGCCAGGAGGGCTTCCCTGGGAGGAGGCCACTCATTGATAAATCCATCCCTCAACTTTCTGGCATTCTTCCAGGTTGGAGACATCGTGGGAGGGATCTTAATCTGGCTCGACAACAGCTGTGATCCCAGAGCCAGAAGAGCAGTGCTCAGGGCCATGGCCTTGCTGGCTCGCTCCCACCCCCAGGACGTGGTTCTAACCTGTGTGGCTCACACGCTCTCATCGCACAGGTAGGGAGCTGCTTTGTTATCTCCTCAGTCCAGTAGTTCTCCTCCTGCTCCTACTGACAGGCCACAGGCCGGGGAGGGGTCCGTGGGGCTCACACAGTTGGAGGGAGTTTCCTGCTGTGCAGAGAGCTGTCCACGCTTCCTAAGAGGAGATGGCCAGGCCCAGCCACTAAGGAGCCAACCCCTCCTCCTACACTCCCCGGGATGGAGACATGCCACTTTTCTGGAGAATTCCAGCATTCTCCTGATTTCTATGGGTCACCCCACTTCCTCTCAGATCCAGTACAGGGCCAATCAATGATTTGGGGGCTCACTCAACATCCCTGGCTCATGAGGTCTGGCTGCTTCTTACTGCAGGAGAGAAGGCAGAGACGGAAAAGGGACATGAGGCCCATCTGTCTATCCCCTGGAGACCAGTGCAGGATTCTTACCTGTCCTAAGACCCCCCAGTTATTCCATGGCTGAGGAATTGGTGACAAAATGCACTCATCCTTATGGAACGGTGGGGCAGAGGTCAATCTCTTAAAACAGACATTTCCAGCCCTTTTTGATGCAAAAGAAAATAAAATAAAATCAACAAAAAAATCATCCCCACATGACCAGAGCCTAAATGCAGTGCAGCGAGCAGACAGCTAGCATTAATAGCTCTGAGAGGGGGGAGTGCCTCTTTCCACCTCAACTCTTTGCTATCACAGCGTAACAGGACACAGAGACGTGAAAACAGTGCAAACAACATTCCACGAGTTTTCAGGAGGTTTAAACACCCAATACATTTGAACATTTAACATTCGCTTTGATCTCTACTAACACACACATCCATGGTTGGGAGGCTCTGTTTGCTGCGGTGGATCCACTGGGGGTTGATGTCATGGGGGTTGAGTGAAAACCCACTAAATTGACAGCAGAGCGCTCTCCAGTCGCCGTTGGGACTGCGCCAGGAACGGCAGGAAAAAGGTAAATTGACCGAAGAGCGTCTCCCATCGACCCAGCCCAGTGTAGACAGAGCAGTAAGTCGACCGAAGCGACGTCAAATCCAGCTCTGTTATTCACGCAGTGTCAGGGGGTCCTGCTGGGAGGAGGAGGGGGAAAACCCTCTCACCTGTAAAGGGTTAAGAAGCTAGGAGAACCTCGCTGGCACCTGATCAAAATGACCAATGAGGAGACAAGATACTTTCAAAAGCTGGGGGGAGGGAGAAACAAAGGGTCTGGGTCTGTCTGTGTGATGCTTTTGACGGGGACAGAACAGGAATGGCGTCTTAGAACTTAGTAAGTAATCAAGCTAGATATGCCTTAGATTCTGATTCCTTTAAATGGGTGAGAAAATAAGCTGTGCTGAATGGAATGGATATTCCTGTCTGTGTGTCTTTGTGTAACTTAAGGTTTTGCCTAGAGGAATTCTCTATGTTTTGAATCTAATTAACCTGTAAGATATTTACCATCCTGAGTTTACAAAAGTGATTCTTTTTACTTTTTCTACTATTGAAATTCTTCTTTTAAGAAACTGAATGCTTTTTTGTTGTTCTTAAGATCCAAGGGTCTGGGTCTATGGTCACCTATGCACATTGGTGAGGATTTTTACCAAACCTTCCCCAGGAAGGGGGGTGCAATGTTTTGGTGAGGATTTTTGGGGGTCTAACCCGGTTAGACTTTTGGTGGTAGCAGCGAAAGTCCAAGGGCAAAAGGTAAAATAGTTTGTACCTTGGGGAAGTTTTAACCTAAGCTAGTAAAAGTAAGCTTAGGAGGTTTTCATGCAGGTCCCCACATCTGTACCCTAGCGTTCAGAGTGGGGAAGGAACCTTGACAGATAAACACAGTGTGAGGCCTGAGTTTCCCCTGCAGTCTGGATGCTCAAACACCGGCTTGGCAACACAAGTCAGCAAGCCCAGGCCACATAGAGTCAGGCTCAGTGTGCAGTGTGGACAGACCCTCAGACAGCCCCAGTATTGTCAAATGAGGAAATCCTTCCTGTGTTTTGACTTGCTGGTAGAAGAGCCGAGTGACCTTGGAGCTCACCGAGCTTCACTGACCAACGCAGCGCTCCAGCACCTGAGCTCTCGGGTTCCCTGCTGAAAGAAAAGCTGAATGAGCGACCAAGGTCAAAGAGAGGTGCTCGTCTTTGGCCAAGGGCAGGGAGTCCCACCCTCAAAGCGAGAACATTTCTCTCTTTGTCCGTCTGAGTTGGGGCAGGAGTGATAACACGTCCTCCTGCATTGGCTATTTCAGAGAGTAGTTTCTGACTGTCTTTTCAAAGACAGGGTGCGAAACAGGCCTCAAACCTGACTGAGTGGAAACAAGAACGATGCAGCTCGACTGAGCCAGCTGAGAATTGAGATGTGCCCCTTTGCTCGAGTGAGGGAATGACCTGTGAGGGGACTGGAAACCTGACCGGCCAATTCTTAACTTGCACTCTCTCGGCATCTTTCCTCTGAGTGCCGTCACGGTAGCTTCAATACTCCAGCACCGGGCGCCCTGCCAGCTCTGGGCCCGACAAGCTTTCCTTGGGATTGGATTCTGGAGAGCAGGGGGGCAGGGAAGCAACAGGTGCATGTGGCTCCATGGTGAGGTTTTCCTTGCAAGATGTGTGTGTGAGTCTGTGTGTGTCGGAAGCACTGAGGGTGGCTCTCTCCCTGAACCCACAGAGGGCGAGGGTGGCGGGAGCGAGACAGTAGAAGTATAAAGGGGCAAGGACGGGCGTAACGATGATGACTGTGTTGTGTTTCATTCCTCAGATGTGGGGCCACCACCTTTCTCTTGAGCCTTGTCGTATCCCAGGGGTAAAACTCGCCATCTGTCCAGCTACAAGGGCGTGTTTGTGTTCATTCCTGCGAGCCACACAGGGGTCTGATGTTGCTGCTTCCAATCCTCTGGCTCTGCCGGGAGAAGGGGCAATTCAGGCCATCCCTGAGCTGAGGGAGGGAGATGATTCTCTGACAGGGAGGGACGCCTCCTCCTAAAGGTGCTTGGCAGGCAGCCCTCCTTCCCAGGTGCGTCCCGACAACACCCAGTTGAAAAGGGGCCCTCCCCATCCCTCCTCAGCGCGGTGACGATGAGCGAGTGAGGGAGCATGGGGGAGAGGGAGCGACGGAGGGGAGGGAGATGGCGTGAGCGGGCCGGGACCTCGGCGAAGGGGGGCACAAGGGTGTTCAGTTTTGTTGGGTGTGAAAGTTGGCAACCCGAGATCCAGGAGCAACAACTCCAACCTCCAAAGAGGCTGGGCAGGGGCAAGTCATCAGCTTGGAGGGGAGGGATGGGTGGGGCAGTGACATCACCAAGGCCTTTTGCAGGAACTCAGCCCATTGGGCAAAGGTGGTGGGGAGGGGGTGACCTCGCAGAGAGACCCCGACATCAGCCGGGCAGGGC